GTCACTTCCACATCTACTAAGCCTTGAAGTCAGAATTCAGATCCCCATTACCTGACTCCCCCTTGGACCAGGTGCTTAGCCATCATTTTATACAATCTAATTCAGCAAAACTTTTCCTACAGTACAAGCCTACTCTTTCAGCTCTACAATTCTTTCTTCCTTTTATTAATATTTCTCCCTCCCTCTCTTTCCTAGTTCTTTTCCCTCAAGAAAAAAAAAAGGTGCTAAGCCCCAGATCCATGCCAGATCTGGTCATTTTCCCCAACCTAAGTGGAAATTTATTATTATTATTGCTATTACTGTCATTATTTCTTAGAATTAAGCTGCACCTTTGACTGTCAGGAGTAGCCTGCATGCTTAATCTTCAAACCAAGAGCAGCCCAGAAGCCAGACCAGAATAGCGTGCTGGTTACAGGCACCTGCTGTGGCAGCAGGTGCCAGAGTTTGAGTTTCCGCTGTGCTGCTCTAACCATGGGACCTCTCTCTGCCTCTGTTTTTTCATCTATAAATGGGGAACTTCATAGTCCCAAGATCACAGGTTTGTTGTGAGCATTAGGTGAGCAGATATGTAAGCATTTAGAATGGCATTTGGCACAGAGGAAATACTCTGCCGATATTAGTTTTCATGACTCCTCCAAAATCTGCCTTTCTTTGTCCTGAAGGACCCCTAAGTTTCCAAGAAACCATAATCCTACAGGAATCTCTTTTGAAGACTAGCAGTAGAAACCCTGTTTTCCCTAGAGACCACTGTCCTGCTGCTGTTTCCAATTTTGTATCATCTTGCTGGCGACAGTGCCAGGCTCCTAATGAGAGTTGAAAAGGTTTCTCCAGCTGGTGAGGCTGCATAATTCAAGCCAGCCTACCTCTCACTTCCAGCTCCCAGGTTCTGAGGCTGAATCAGTAGGGAGGGGGGTGCATAGCTAAGAGAGTCTGTAGATGTTCAGTGGCCTGGCGTGGCATTGGTTCACCAGTTTCTGTTTGTTTGGGCCATCCCATTAGCTGCTGCCTCCTTAAAAAGTCAGAATTCTATAGGCTTAACAATCTATTTGGATGAAAAAGCTTGAAACACGGGGTTGGCCCTAGGATCAAGCTAATTAATAGGCCCTTCTCAAACTGGGATTTGGAAGGTAGGCTGAACCTTTGAAAAGCAATCATCTTTTGAGGGTGCTACAAGTCACTGGAATAAAACTGGGGATGGGAGGAAGGACCTGGAAGGAAATAGCAAACACAAGAGGAAACTATCATTTCTGGAGGCAAATTGGCTTGGTAGAGGGGGAAAAAAAGTTCTTCATGCAAATAAGGCCCACTGAGACTTCCTTGAGTCAAATGATTCAGTCAAATGATTCTTTATCCTAATGATTTTTCACATCTAATTCAAGGAGAAATTAGCTATTAGATATTAAGACAAAAACAGGCAGACTCCTATCTTGAGAAGAAATCCTTTCCACTGAAGTGGAATTATCTCCAGAATAATGAAATTGCTTGCTGAAGTAGAAAAGCATTCCATTAACCGGAGTTGCCTCTGTTGAATAGTGCCTTCCTCATCCCCAAACAAATCATGATGACTCTGAACAAGGACAAGGAGATACCAGGACCTAAACAGATAATGTGATCAAACCGAAATCATCATCAGTGTCATTTCTGAGCCAAAAAGCAAAGCTGCTAATCAGCAGATGCTGGAGCCTGGCAGCAGTTTTATTTGTGACCAAGAGTGGCTGTGGTCCTTGTTTCTTCAGGAGTCTTAGACTCTGAAGGTTCTGTACCCTAACAAAAGAAATGAAGGATGCAGTGAAAGCATGGCAGAGGATCGTTTTTCTGGAATGTTCCCAACCTGCCTATTTGACATTGGCAGTATTTCCAGAATTTAGATATCTTTATTCCAAAAGAACACTGTGATTGAGAAAGGGCGTTATTACCTGCCAAAACATGTAAACCGCCAGTACATTCAAATGTATTCAGTACCAGGAGGCACTGTAATCACCTGACCTGATCCATACTGTTCTCACTACATTGTGAAACTTGTTCCATGGTACGACCAACAAGTCTCTTTCCACGAATGCATTACATCATCACAAGGTGCCACACACTGTGGCAAACCAGCTTTCACTCAGTAGCAGTGATTTATGAGGATAGAGTTTTAATATCCAAGAGGATTCTGTACATGAAGATAAATGCTTACCTCATTGTCCTCTGTTTCTGCCCAATGAATCCATCTATATTTGTTGAACAGTCCACATTTTTAAACATTTCACAGTCAGCATTCCTCTAAATATTTGTACTATACTTTAGACATAATATGGATTTAACACAGGAAAATTTCTCAAGATTTACATATAGATGTTATAAAGGTAAACACTTCTAACCATTTATTTCAAATGCTATTGCTAAAAATTCAGATGACGGTAAATGTTTGAAACCCTGTAAAAATAGACAAAACACACACATAAAGGCCAGTACACTTAAAATCAAGGAGGTTATAAGTGGATTAGTAGCATGGGCTTAAAGTTGTTTTCTTATCATCTTTATTCTTATTCATACCCTTTAAAAAGTGTTATTTTTATTTGTGCATGGATTTAATCAGGGTTGCCTTCATAAGGTTTCAGGTATTTTACAAGGAACCACCACAGAACAGCCAAGGCCCCCAGCTCTGGTTATCATCTGGCTATGACGTGGGATTCGGTTGCTCAGGATTTGCCAATTCCAAGCTTTTGGTTCAGTACATTTGTTTAACTGAGTTATTTTCGTTACGTCAAAGAACCCTTAGATGCCTGTCTTCTATGTAGATTTTCATTCTTGGAACTTGGTACCATTCCTAGAAATGATCAATTCTTTTTTATATCTGCCAGTTCTTGACTTATTGAGCTTGTCTGTTAACATTATTAAAAACTTACACATCCCCTATTATTATTTTATTCTATTTAGTTGGGCCATTTAAAGGTTTTGTATCCTAGGAGAGGAGATTGAGCCTGTATAATTAGCTCTCTTCTTTAGGACAGCTGGCTAATTCGTCACCTTGGAATGCAATGTGAGACTCCCTGCCCACCTGTTTATTTTGCATGCCACCATGGCACTGATCAGTTTTTCCTAGAGAGGGGTATCGTGCTTGCTTCATCTTGGACTCTGTTGTATCTGTTCTGTTTGCATAGCTGGAAACAAACTGCATGTCCAATATTGCACACTTTTATGATCACAGCAGTAAAGACTTCTCCTAACTTTATAGTCTCTGGGACACCACCTGTATAATTTTTGCCTTGTTTGCATTCCACCTGAACCATTACGCACTTAAGACTTCTCTTTAAATAACTTTAAATCTACTTACTTTTTGTAACCTAGCAGTGTCTTAAACCATAACAGCCGTGAAACCACACGTTAGATGCATCAGTTGTATTTCAACTTTGTTGTAAATACACATTAAAATCATGGCACAGATATTGAAATGACAGCACTGTCCTGGTGCCCCAGAGCTCTCTTGCACACCGCTAGGATACGTCATACCACAATTTAGGAGACTTGGCTGAAGACCACATGCCACGGATTCTGTTTGCTGGGAATATCCAAATAATGTGCTTGTTTTCCAAGGATTTTTGAAAAACGATACTCCTATTTTAAAAGCACCAATATAAGGGGAAGTCTTAGTGGCATATGAAACTCCATGCTTTAAGAAAAACAGAGTAAAATAAAGAATGGAACACAAGACCTCAGCAATTCCTGCTTTCTGGCTCCATCATTATTTAAAGTGGTGCATGAACCTCAGCGCACTTTTGTCCATCACCAGCTCTCATAGAAGCCCTGAGCAAGCACCCAGGACTGACTGGGAGGCTTCTAGGGTGGACTGGGTGATGAGAATAGACCCCCTAAGGAGAAGGGAGAAGGGAGAAGGGAACACATTCAGCAAAGATCTGCAGGCAGAGCATTCTTTTGTTTTGTTTTGTTTTGAGACAGAGTTTCCCTCTGTCACTAGGCTGCAGTGCAGTGGTGTGATTTAGACTCACTGCAACCTCCGTCTCCTATATTCAAGTGATTCTCCTGCTTCAGCCTCCCGCGTAGCTGGGATTACAGGTGCGCGCCACCATGCTCAACTAATTTTTGTATTTTAATAGATTTGGGGTTTCACCATGTTGGCCAAGATGGTCTCAATCTCTTGACCTTGTCATCCGCCCGCCTTGGCCTCCCAAAGTGCTGGGATTGCAGGCGTGAGCCACTGCACCCGGCCACATTCTTGTGTGGGGAAGAGCCCCAAGGACAAAGACCTGGGTGGGGAGGACCTGGGTGCAGGCGAGAAATAGCAAGAGCCACTGGGGCTGGACCGTAAGGTGGCAAGGGGAGGGGCCGGGGGTGTGATCAGATCACTGAGGGGTAGACCTCGGGCCATGGCACAGAGTGTAGATTTTGACTGTTCCACGGTTTTGAGCAGGAAACTGATTTGAGCTGATCTCGCTGACTGCTACTCAGGGAATGATTATATTGGATCAAGAGTGAAAACCAAGACCCCAGTTGGGTAGCTCTGGTGGTCTCCAAGTGAGAGCTGATGGAAACTTTTGCCAGAGAGGTAGCCATTAAGATGGCAAGAAGGGGTTTGATTAGGCATCTACATATTTTGAAGAGCACAAGAATTTCATATCTCTCTTGAAACTGCTAAAATTAAGTATGTTTTCTTAACACACATACACACAGTAGAGAATGAAAATATCTTCTGATTGCTTTAAACAATGTTTAGTGTGTCTAGTGAACTGTAAGAAAAGTTCTGGTATAGTCTCTCCAGTTTTCATAGAAGCCAGTAATTGGCAACATATCAGTGTGTGTTCTGAAGCCAGAGCTTTCACAATCATGGATGACTTATGGGGTGTAGATTTTGGCCTGAGCCACCGGGTGCCTCTGGAGGCTGTTTGCTGAAATGGGCGAGAACAAGGGCAAGAAGGGGCCTCAGGAGCAGGTGGCCATAAGAGATTAGCACAGGGTATGACCTTGACCCTGACCCTCTGCCTTCTCTCTCCCTGCAGTGATCCCGAAGGTCACCAAGCACCTGCTCTCAAACCCTGTGTTCACCTGTATCATCCTGGCTGCCTGCATGGAGATTGCAGTGGTGGCTGGCTTTGCTGCCTTCTTGGGGAAATACCTGGAACAGCAGTTTAACCTCACCACCTCTTCTGCCAACCAGCTGCTCGGTGAGTGTGCTCCTCAGGTCTCCTGAGAGGGTCGGGAAGTGTGTCCTGTGTATAAGGCACTAAGAATTGACTGAGCCTGCTGAAGAGGTCCACTCTGCTCTGGACCTAAAGCAACAAAATACACGTGGCCTCTGTGCACAAGGAATGTAAAGTATATTCTCGGAGTAAGATTTGCCTGCCTGGAGCAATTGCTAAAAGCACATGATAATAAAGAGTGAAAATATAAAATATACAAAGGAAGCATTTGAGAGACCAGGAAGTTGATAGATGGGTGTGAACTGGGAAATCTGGGGGAGATATGATGAACAAGGATAAATCTTGAAAGGTTAGCAGGTTTTAATCAGACACGCAAGAAAGTAAGAATATTCTTTGCAGCATGAAACCCACAGTTAACGCATGCAGAGTTTGGAAGCCATACGCTCCCTACTCTCTGTGCCCACAGCAGACATAACCAATGGATCGTGACACTCCTTCTCCCCAAGCTCAGGCATGGCTTTATAGTTCTTTAAATCGTAGACTACAAGTTTCTACTCCCAACTGTTAGGAGTTGACATACTAAAGGAAACCAGTGTGCACTCTTGAGAAGCAGTGTTGCTTAGGCAGAGTAAGGAATGTCGTCCCGCAGCATGTCTTACTTTGCTTTTTGTTTTGTGATAATATATTATCCTTTCCTTCAAATAACCAGGAAGCCACATTTGTTGAGTTAATCAGCTGAGATATTGATCACTAATGGACACAACAGCAGCAGAGACATAGCAATTAAATGAGAGGGAAAAGTGAACAAGGGCTCTCAGGTTTCTGGCTTGGAGAGCTTGTGGCACTGTTTGTAGAAACTGGAAATAATGAAGAAAAATCAAATGTGTGCAAAGTTGCCCATTCAGACCTGAAGCTGCTGAGTGTGAGATGCCCATGGCATATCTAAGTGATGTCCAGTATTCAGCCAAGGGCTCAAGAAGGGGTTCTGGGATGATCATCTGAATTATATGTAGTAATGGAGGTTCAGTTATCTCAGCATATGGATGGTAGTTAAGGACACTGGAGTGGAATTTATGTAGGAAAAAATGTGTAGAGTTAGAAAAACACAGGTAAAACCCCAACCTGAAGAAATAGAGGAGTCTGCAGAGACATTTAAGCAGCAGCATCCAAAAGAAATGCAGAGAATGTGGGTCATGGAAGTCAAGGGTGAGATGATTCCAGGAAGAAAGTAGCCATCTGACATGTGAGTGGTGAAGCAAGGTGCAGGCCCAAATGTCCCTGTTGGCTTTAATGATGAGGACAGCTTACAGCCTGGGTCAGGGCTGTGTCCCTGAAATGGCAGTGGTGGCACCTGTTCTGTGGTGTGGAGAGCAGCCCACAAGAGGGAAGGAATAGACAGTGAGCATGGGACTTAGCCAGGGAAGAAGAGAGGAGTTGGCCTGTGGCGTGTGTTGGAATCAAGGGAGGGAGTGGTGAGTATTTGGTTTCTGGGACAGGAAAGACTTGAGCAGGTTTCTCAGTGGAGGGAAAGGAGCTCACAGCTGGGGATCTGCAGAAGAGAGAGGGAATGTGGTAGACAGCCCTTGACAGAGGAGCTCACCTCTTCTCCTGAAAGAGGAGAGGGAAGGACACGTGATGGAAGTGACTTAGAGTGTGGTGATATGGCCAGGTGTGGGGGCAGCTGCGGCTCCACAGACTTCATCTTCTCTGTAAAGGAGGAGTCAGATTGTCTGCTAAGAGGAAAGGGAAGGTGATACTTTCTGATCTTCTCCTTTCAAATCTGTCATGTCACAAGATGGCCAAGAAACAAACAAAGGTGCTAACCATCATGAGTCATCAGAGAAATATACATTGGAACCACAATGGGATGCTGCTACACATCCACCAGACTGATAGCAGCAAGTGTTAGGGAGGATGTGGAGCCACTGGAACTCTCAAACTCAGCCAGTGGGAATGCACATTGGTGCCACCACTTTAGAAAACTCTTTGGCTGTGCCTATTAAAGCTAACCATATGTCTCTGCTGTGATCTCTCAGTTCTGTTTCTGATTATCTATCCAACAGAAATAAATGTTTAGGTTGACTTATTTACATAGCATATGTAATAATGTCCAGAGCTGTTTTACGCATAATAGACCCAAACTTGAAACAACCTAAATGTCCATCAACAGAATAGGTAAATAAATTATACAATGTTCTGTGGTAAACTATTACATAGAATGAAGAAGAAAGGACTCTGATACGTGCCTCAATGTGGTTGAATCTCACAGAGTTGAAAGACATGAGACTCAAAGGAGAACATATTTAGATGAATTAAAAAGAGGAATAGTTAATTAAGGTGATAGAGTCCAGAACAGTTTTTACCCTTGGGGGAAGCTAACTGGGAGGGCACATCAGGGAGCCTCCTTGGCTGCTACAAGTTTTCTAAGGTCAATCTGAGCCATAGTTACAAGGGTGTGTACAGATGCAAAAGTTCATCAGGCTGTTCCCTTAAGCTCTGCGTACTTCGCAGGACATAAAATGTCCCAGTTTAAATGGAAAAGTAAAACCCTATCACAATGATAGGGCCAGATTACCACCCCACTCCCCGGGAAATGCCAGGGTACCACAAGCCTTACTTACATTTTCCTTTTACACAGATAACTCTCTGCCACCCTCCACTTGGTAAATTTTACTTCCAAGAGGTATCGGCAAAATGCATTCAGCCCTTTAATATCTGCCTGACAGAGATAGGGTAAAATACACCTCTTTATGATTAAAGTTGTAACTTCTTCGTCATCCCCAGGATCTCTCAGGTTTAGCCCTTCAGCACCCGAAGAGTTTCTCTCTCACCTGCTGACTCCTCTGCTGCTTTTCCTTCCATTTTGATTACATTTGCACAGTTGCTTCAACTTTGGGCCGTCTTCTATCTCAGAACACATCCCTGTGTCTTCTATCGGCAAACAAATCAATAGTCTTCAGGGCAGAAGGTCAAAAAAACAATTCTGCCTTATTGCACCTTTTTGTCTCCCAGTGATCTCTGTCTGTTAGTGTGCTTTGCAGGAGGCACCTTTTTCTGTGCTGGGCAGTCCAGGCAAGCAGCCTGGGTGCTCTCTTTGTGTGTGTGCCCTGCCCTTGGTGACAGTCCTGTCAGTGTGGACCCTGGAAGCTGGAAGAGGAGCTGGCAGTGGGCGGCTAGAGAAGGCAGACTTGGGAGATGAGGCCCAGGCAGTCATCCCAGAGCAGCACCCGCCCCTCTTCCACCCTCCCCTCCACAAAGTCATCAGCAAATGGGGCAGAGCTCAGAGAAGAGCCACTTAGGCGATTAAAGGGCTGGTGGTGTTGATTTGTGAGTGAAGATAAAATGGGCTCAATCCGCCGCATAGGTTAACGTAATGAGAATGGAGTTTCAGGGAAGTTCTGATCACTGCCTGGAGTGTTGAGGGAGGGGAGAGAGGGGATTGACAACGGCTTGGAGAAAAGGTGTGAAAGCCTGCGATTGCCATGGTTACCATCCTTGACAGGTGATGCCCCCACTGTCTCTGCTAGAAAATGAAACAAAACATAGGCATGCTTTCTGGGTGTGAGCATGTTGTGACTGATGTCCATTCACACAGATGCAATCTGTTCCCCAGCTCATTCATTCTGAAAATAATACTTGGATGCCCACTCGGTGCTGGGTACCATGCTAGACACAGAGAATCTGGGCTGGACTGAACAAGACAAAAAGGGGTTTTGTCCCCAGGAAAGCCGCATCCTAGAGAGAAAGAGAGAGAGAGCATGCAAGAAACAAGAAACTCAAACATACATGAGGCTGCTTCAGAGAGCTGGGAGAGTCATAGAGTGAGAAAAAGCACGGAATCTCAGGGCGGGGGTACGTGGAGCTCTAGAGAGGGTGGCCTGGGAAACCTGTCTGAAGAGGATAAGGGCCAGCCAAGTAAACGCATCGAGCAAGTGTCCCAGGAAAGGGAACTGCATATGCAAAGTCTGGGGAACTGGCATTGTTCGCCTGTCCCAGGAAGAGAAAGGGAGGGTGGCATGGTTGGGGTGGGCAGTGTGGCACGGGATGAGGATGGAGAGGCACCCAGGAGCTGGCTCATAAGATCACTTCTATACCAAGGGAGGGAAACCAAGCACAGATATTCCAAGAGCAGCAGATGATACAGAGAGAGCATCTGTCACTTTAAGAACGACCTGTGTTGTTTTCTTGCAGAGCTACACCTGCCTGATTCTATTTTCTTGCCCCAATATTAAAATTAATTTGCATTCCCTTAGCACATACCAGCTGGTTAATGTACTCAATTGACCTAGAGGTCTGTTGATGGGCAAGAAGGCAGCATAGACTGGAAAACTGGCCATGCGTCCTATACATGGTACATAAATGACACATGGCAAGTGGAAGCTGAGTTTTAGATGAAATGAATCAGGATGGAGCAAAACCAGCCCAGGAGACTGGAACTCTGAGATCCTTTGGTCCTCCTAAAATGCCATGGGTCTCTGTGAATCACAAATAACAGGTTTATGGTCCTGCTGCCTTGCAGATAGCCCCGTGTAGAAGAGAGAGAGAGGAAAAAAATGTATATGCCATTTATTCACCAAGAGCTACAAAATGTATTGACCGATGCCGCTCCCTGAGGGGTGGCAGAGCTGGTTCAAATTCTCTCTGTCTGGCCTGGTGAATTCTGTGACCTTTAGGTTAAACAGCCTCTATTCCTTCCTCAAAACCCTCCCTTCTTGCCTCATTAGAAGATGGGGAGAAAATTCCTAGAAATTTTCAAGTCCCCCTCCCACATGATCTGAAACACGCGCATAGAGCACATTGCTGCCTCATATGTACTCTCCCGAAGGCATGTCTGTGTTCCCAGCCTCTGTCACTTGGTAGTCCCCTCTTCAGCTTGTGTTTCTCCCACTTAGCAAGACAGCTGCATGCACTGAGACTCACTAAACAGAACTGCTTTATGCCTGCGTCCCTCAGGTCTCCATGAGCCCCCTATGGGCAGAAATCCTAAAGGCTTCAGGGTCCTGTGGAGGCAGTGGGGTCGCGGGGCATTCAAGGGACTCGGCCTCAAGCCTGCAGTTCGCCCATCTGTGGACTGTCCCCCCGCCGCCCTATTCACGGCCCTGCCCCTGTTTTCCTTCCAGGAATGACTGCGATCCCGTGTGCTTGTCTGGGAATCTTCCTGGGCGGTCTTTTGGTGAAGAAGCTCAGCCTGTCTGCCCTGGGGGCCATTCGGATGGCCATGCTCGTCAACCTGGTGTCCACAGCTTGCTACGTCTCCTTCCTCTTCCTGGGCTGCGACACGGGCCCGGTGGCTGGGGTTACTGTTCCCTATGGAAACAAGTGAGTACCCGCAGTCTGCCGCCTTCCTGCCTACTCATGGACCCCAGCGCTCTTCCCCGGCAGTAGGCTAAGGGAGCCAGCCTTGTTTCTAGAGACCCCCAAGGAGAGGCCTCCAGGCTGCCTCTGCATCACACTCTCCACATTGGAGAATCGGTAGAAGACTCTGGGCTGAGAGAGCGTTGAGACCTGTCCACTCAAGGCCAGGAAGCTCTGGGGCAGAAGAGACACCATTTCCTCCCTAGCATACCCACATCCTGATTTCTGGCATTTGACTTTAGGAAAGATGTGAAGATGGAAAATAAAAATTATGATTCAAAATTCAGCTCAGAATAAAAGAATCTCTTGATTTCAACAATTCCTTAAACTATCAAAAGCTGTCATTAGCCTCACATGACAATCAGAGGCTCTGGCCCATGGCAGGTGTTTTTAAGTGTAGAGGGGTAAAGTGTGGGGACAAGGAGGTGAAGGGAAGGGAGGGAGGAAGAGAAGGAAGTGAGTTCTCATGGGACCGCTTTTCTTTCTTCCTAGTTTTTATCCCAAGACTTCAGACTAGAGTCCAGTGAGAACTGCCTTTCCAGGGAATTATGGGGCATCCTCAGCTATTCATTCTCAAAAGCTGTCCCCTTTTCCACATGGGACTGAGGCTGCCTTGGGAATCCAGACTGGAGCATGGAGGCTGCAGCATGGCTGGCCTGCAGGTTCCCAGTTTCTCTCTTTCCAGAGCCAGACTCTTCCTCCAAGCAGGCCACCAGGCCTGCTCCTGCACTTGGCCCAGAAGATACATGGAGCCAGGGCATTTCTGTCACCTACAAGGGTGAGCAGGCAGAGTGGGAGAGCAGAGGCAGCTTTCTGTATGTCTGTGCACATTCCAGGCACCATGTGACCTGCCTTCCCCTTTACACCACCATGGGATTGCCCCTTGCAATCCCCACCCCAGCCTGGCCCCCAGTTCCTTCCTGTCCAGATGTGGCTTTTTCCTGCTTGCACATCCGGCTATGCCGAACAGCCATCTCAGTAGCAGATGGCTCAGCTCCCAGGTAGTGAAGTGTAGTGGTTAGAAGCACAAGATCTTACCATTAGGACGTTATTCTTCCATAAAAAAGAAAAAACAAGTGTATATCCTACAGTCAAACTTCCCTGTTTCTAATGTTCCTCTACCATTTATGAGTTCTGTACTTTTGGGCAAGCCACTTAACCTAGCTATGCCTCAGTTTCTTCTCTGAAGCCATGGGGTTATAATGAGAATAAATGAAACGATCTGCTCAGTCCTTGGAATAGCGCATGACACAGTGATTGCCCGGTGTTGCCGTCACCATATTTATTATTATGAAGCGCTGTGAGCCTGAGGAGACAGAGCTGAAAATAATCAGACTAAAGAAGAGACCTTTCGTCTCTTACAGTGCTAACACGCCCACTCTGCCCTTTTGCTCTTTTCTCAGTTTGTTTGCTCTAGGTAGCTGTGCCTTTAATGATGCAAAGGAAAATTTAAAACATGAGTGTGATTTGTCACAGGACACTGAATCAATTAGACAGTAATTATTGAAGCCAGTCTGGTTGTAGCTGTGTAGTAAGTCAGCGTCGTGACGCTTCCTGACTGCTGGGGAGGAATAAAGCAGGGAGACAAGAACCAGCCCAGTGAGGGAAGAAGTTAATTGTTCACGGAGCAGGCATAGGTGTTGGTTCGGGAGAGGGGGATAACTTGAGGCCATAGCAATCAGGAGAGACATCATGGAGGGGGTGGCCCTGAGCGGAGACCCAACTGTCACCAGTGCAGAGAGCACATCAATTCCAGTGATAAAGAGCATCTTCGTCCATGCTTCCTGAGAGGGGCTGGAGTGGACTTGGCTCCCACACAAGCTGGCACCATTGTGCAGGGCACAACCCACATACCTCTCAGTGGTGGCCCTGGGCTGCTCCTTGCTGGACAGGGAGGTTAGAAAAGGGAAGGGAGAGCCAGGTAGGAATCCCGTAAGCAGGGTACCATGTGACTCATCACAGCAGAGGCACAAGGCTGACACTGGGGACATCTGATTCCAAATTGACCTGTTCTAATGACTTCCGTGTTTCCTTTCTTTTCCAGCACAGCACCTGGCTCAGCCCTCGACCCCTACTCACCCTGCAATAATAACTGTGAATGCCAAACCGACTCCTTCACTCCAGTGTGTGGGGCAGATGGCATCACCTACCTGTCCGCCTGCTTTGCTGGCTGCAACAGCACGGTAATGGGATGGGGCAGGGGATCCAGGCAGCCAAAGTGGCTTAAAACCCAAGGCCAAAGGCAGGAGCAAGCAACCACAGATGTTGTATGTGGTGTTCCTTCTCTGTCAAGTTTTCTTAGCTGTTGCCCTGCTCTAGTGGAAGATCTTCCATCAGCAGGAGGAGAGGACTGATTCGGGTCTTGCTAAATCAAGTGTGTTTGCAGGAAGTTTCATTGGGCAACTGAAAGAAAAAATTCAAAGGAATCTGTATATGTGAAACCAAAGGAAAAGATCGTGGTTCAAGGTGCTTGCCGAGGGTCAAGGGAATAGGATGTCTGCATGGGTAGTGAGTTCCCCATCCCCAGAAGTATGTCAAGCAAGGCTTGAAACCATTTATCAGGAAAGACTTCTTCCAGACCTGAGACACTCTGACACCAATTCCTACCCAGTTCACTTTGCCATAATTTTCCTAACTAAATGCCTTCCCCCTTTTTCCATGTTCCTGACACTTTTTTAGGGGGGGTGCAGGTGCTTTTTCCAGCCCATAGCTTTCCGTGTTGTCTTCCTGAAAACCTGATGCTAAGTGATGGGTCATCCAGTTGTGCTGATCCCACCTTCCAGGAGTCCTTGGCACATGCCCTGGGGCACCCACACCACCACTGCCCTATCCATGCCCCCCCATCTCTTGCTTGGACCCATGTGGTAGTTCCTACCTGGCCTCCCAGAATGGCCCCTTCCATCCTGCCTTCTGTTCAACACTGCAGTCAGAAAGTTTTCTGTAACATGGCAAATGACCCTTTCTCATGCTACTCTATTAACTGGAAGATCAGTTCTAGGGGCCACGTGTCTTCAGCTCTACCTCCTTTCAGTTCGTGGTGTTCGACTTCCCCCATACACCCTCTCTTTTCATACACCTGCCTCTATTTGGACAGTTCCTACCCACCAGGCAACAGCCCCCTCAAATGTCCCCTCCTCTGAACCCATCCCTTCCCTCTTTTGTCTTTGGGGTTCTTCTCTCTGAAGTCCGTTGGTACCTCTTTCTCCTAAAGACACTGTTCCCATTTCATTATGGTGACTTGCTAGAAGTGTCTGTCGTCTGCTCTGGTCCTTGGATTTCTTAAGCAAGAGTGGGCACCCAGAAGTACTCCATGAATGTCTCTGCAAGGCATCATGGGAAGGGACATCTGAAGGCCCGGTGGCAGCTTTCAAGGGACTTAAGAGTTGAGATCGTTAGTTTCTTCTTTTTCCTACATCTTATATCTTTCAGGAGCAGCAATTTCTCTGAACGAAGAAAAATTGATCATTTATTTTCATTTTCAAAGATTTCATTTTTCCTTGTGTTTAACATTTAGATTCCTGGCCAGTTACTAACATTTTCTATAGTGAAAATAAATCACCATGGGGGGTGGGTGGGAGGAACTGATTTTTTTTAATTAGATGATAAAGCAATTTCTTTATGTGAGTGGAAATAAATTTTAAAAGAAGGGATGGGCCTTGAGAATGGTTAAAATAAAAACACAAGCCATTATTTTTCATGACAACAATTTCATTAACATTTTAATATCCAGAAAGTTATATTATAAATCAGTCTCAGTTATTGTCCTGTTATAAGAATTAAATTGACTCAATATGGTCTATTTGAGACCAAACGAGTCTCAGTTCCAGGGAATGCACTGACCAAAAAACTTACCTTAAAAATTGCATTTCCCCTGATCTTGCAAGTACAAGAGTCTAAGTGAATAACAGCCTGACCAGGCCCATCCATGGCCGCATCCCACTGCTGAGACAGCAAAGCTGGAGAGTGCAGTTATCAGACTGCAAGCTCCTTTGCTTACCTCTGGATGTATTGTTTATTCCCCAGACGGAGCCTTTCATTCACATTACTCGAGGCCTCACATTGTCTGCTAGGGTGTAGGTGAGGCCAGGAGGTTATCCCCATGCAGTTGCAATGCAGAGACTGAGAAACCACCAGCCCTCAGCACCGGGGTGGGGCACACAGTGCCTTTCCTGCAGAGGCCGATCTCCAGACACCCTGGCTTCCAGCAGGTGGATGAGGGATTTGGAGACTCAGAGCAATGCTTATCCTGGAAAGGAGCCCTTGTGACAGTCTAGCCTTAAAAACCACCACAACCATAAAACTTGCAGCAGCAGCAGCAGCAAGCTTTGTCAAGAGCCTATTAAGCCCCAGGTAATGGGGACTTCTGTGTGTCACTCATGGCCCATGGCAGTTTGGCCCAGAGTCAGAGAATCTCAGGCCAACATCCAAAAATGAATGAAAAGCAATTTAAATCCTTTCAATCTCTGCTGCAGTATTTTGAGAAAATGCCAAATGGTGGCTATATTCCTGGTACATGGACTCCCTCCCTCCCCCCATTTTCTCCACTCTTTTCTTCTTGTCTCCAAGCTTTTAAAAAAGGAAAAAAAAAAAAAAAAAAAAAAAACCTCTTTGACAAGCTAAAACGTTCCTCAACTCTTCTGCCTCCTCCTCCTTTTCACAGTGATTCTTGTATTTACAATGATCCCCTGGAGTTCTCCACCCTCCCAATGTGAATTCAGCAGCTCTCCCCAGGTTCATCAGTTCTTCCCCCCGTAGCCGCAACCCTGTGTATATCATCCCATGGATCCTCCCAGCAACCTTGGGAAATAGGTGTTCTTTTTATTTCCTGAATATAGATGAGGTTAGTCACCTACCCAGTGCCATGCAGTAGGAAGTGGGGGATCTGGCTTTTGAATGTAGGGTCTGTCCAATGTCAAGTACACATGGACACCAAGGAGAAATAGTGTCTTCCTCTGCACTCTGTGCCTGCTCTAAGGTGCTCACCATCTTTCTATCCCTTCAAACATGCACTTCTCATTCGAGACGTTTATTTGGCCTTTACCGTCTGGCCCTGGCTGCCTCTCTAGCCTCAACCTCCCCGTCTATTCCTCCCACCTCTTTTTTTTTTTTTTTTTTTTTTTTGAGACAGGGTCTCGCTCTGTCACCCAGGCTGGAGTGCAGTGGTACAGTCTCAGTTCACTGCAACCTCCACGTCACGGGTGCAAGTGATTCTTCTGCCTCAGCCCCCCAAGTAGCTGGGATTACAGGCACACACCACCACACCTAGCTAATTTTTTATATTTTGGTAGAGATGGGGTTTTTTACCATGTTGGCCAGTCTGGTCTTGAACTCTTGACCTCAAGTGATCCACCCGTCTCAGCCTCCCAAAGGGCTAGGATGACAGGCCTTCCCACCTATTAAAGAGCCACTTGGTAAGTGGAACTTCTTGGAGTTCCCCAACACGTCAGGCTTCCCCTGCCCCTGGGCCTTTGCACCTGCCGTTTCTCTTCCCTGCAGTAGTCTCTCTCTTCTAAGCTCTGTCTTATCTGTCAGGGTGTCTCTCCTTCACCACTGCTGAGAAGCCTTCTCCACCTCTTCTCTTCCTTCAGGGCTGTTAGTGCCCTTCCTGCAAACCCTGCTGCCCCTGCTCTTGCCTAGCAAGGCTCTCACCTCACCTGTGCTACCGGCTCATTTACGGGAGCATCTCCCTCCTCAAGCTGCAGGGATAGGGCTCTGTTGGGGACCCTTGCTTCTCACTGTCAGCCATGGCTCTGGATAAAGGCCCTAGGCTTTCTCAGCACCCAGCCGGAGGCTCACTGTCAGCCATGGCTCTGGCCCTAGGCTTTCTCAGCACCCAGCCAGAGGCCTCATACTGACCTCGGAGAGCTGCAGGGATCCAGGGGTGATAATACCATTCTCTTGTTTAGCAGTTGGCAAGTGGGTAGGTTGGATGATGCTAGTTTCAATACTAAAGACCTTATCTTTACTTACCACTCACCACTTTAGAGTTTCCGTCAAAATTCCCCATATCTCCATTAGATGTGAATAAGTCACTGATCAAGTAATTCTGATTATAGGAAAATCTGATTAGTGTTAGCAGTTTCCTGACAGTAAACTCTTCTTCCTGCTCTGGTTTGGATTTTTTATTTTCTTATATCTCCTTGAGTGATACCAGTTGAAGTTTCCAGGCCTGCATTTAATACACAACTTTTTTTTTTTTTTTTTTGAGACAGTCTCACTGTGTCACCCAGGCTGGAATGCAGTGGTGCACTCTTGGCTTACTGCAGCCTCTGCCTCCTGGGTTCAAGCGATTCTCCCGCCTTCGCCTCCCGAGAAGCTGGGACTACAGGCGTGTGCCACCATGCCCGGCTAGTTTTTGTATTTATTAGTAGGCTGGTCTTGAACTCCTGACCTCGTGATCCGCCTGCCTCAACCTCCAAAAGTGCTGGGATTACTGGCCTAAGCCACCACACTCATCCAAATATACAACTTCTAATTCTTCTCACTGCATATGATCAGGAGGGGTGACAAAAAAAATTGTGAGTTAATTTTGTAAGTTTCCTTTGGCATGAATGTATTGTCCAGATTGTTTTTGTGCCTTTCACTTTCAGAAGTAATTATTCCAACAGAAAGCATATTAGTATGCTGTAGACTCATGGCTGGAAGTTGTATCCTTTTGATGTACTGAATAATTGACTAGGAAAAAAACTTCTATCAGCCACCAATAGAACGTTGAAAGTCAGTGAGTCCAGCACTGCAGTTTGCAGGGTACTAATGATAGATGACTACTTCATCCCCTCATCCAGGCAACAAATATTTATTGGGCACTTGTTTCCGCGAAACGCCCAGTAGGTTCTGTGGAGGGGAGGAGGACGGGTCCATGATGGACGTGTGCAGGCAGCTCATGGTCAGTGTTACGGATCTCGATGCAGGCTGCATGTTGGGATCATGCGGGAGCTTTTAAAACATGAGGGCTCAGCCCCACTCTCAGAGATTCTAATTCCCTTATGTTGGAGTAGGACCCATACCTCAGCATTTTTTTTTATTGCATTTTAGGTTTTGGGGTACATGTGAAGAACATGCAAGATTGTTGCATAGGTACACACATGGCAGTGTGGTTTTCTGCCTTCTGTCCCCTCGCTTGCCTCAGCATTTTTTAAAGCTCTTCAAGTATGTTTGATATGTAACCAGGATGGAGAGGCAC